GGATGTTGTATGCCACCGGGGCTAGCTAGTTGATGGAGCCTCGCTGTGTGTTGCATTGTTAGATGGATGCATGCCTATGTGTTCCGTGACCAGTTCTGATGGTTGAGGTCGTCTGCCGTGGTTGTGTGGCCGTGCTTTTTATCAACCCGATTATTGGATTTCCATGGCAGACCTCTTTGCGACTGTCATTTTTGTTCGACGGTGCCTTACTGAGCGATATGCTCACCGACCACCGACAATACACCCGAAATCATAGCGATACCATTTTTGCGTCAAGGGTGTAAAGGGTCATCATTGTAGATAATGTTGTCGTACGTGGGAACGGTCTCATTTAAGTTCACTGTTATTTTCACAATTCCGAAATGAAGAAAGGGAGATCATGTAAAAATATCATAGAGTTCATTCACCATCTCAAGGAAACAACTTATGCACCGCCAAAGAAAGCCATAGTCAATGATAATCATTATCTGTCATCAGTAACTACAAGACAAACACAAACACAATGTGAACACTATCATTTACTGACAATTTAGGGAAAATCATTAAAATAGTTCACCTAATTTCTCGGTTGCATTTGGTTTTTGCCCCTTTGCAGATCGTTCATAAAACATATTGTTCATAGATTGATTAGCTTCTTGGCTGCAATTGGTTTTTAGGACAAAGGTGCAATGGGTCATCTAGTTAATAATAGATGCATAACAGAACTAGGACGAAAGAGTGTCAAATAAACCACTAATAGACGAACAGAGAACATAATACTATCCTGCACCTACTTGGGCTTGGCCCATTAGCAGAGCGTGAGCGAGACACCGCTATCTGCCACTCGCTCCATCACATAAACAAGGATGCTGGTGGGCCAAACACCAACTGTGGTTGGGGAAGATAGGGAGCTGGATAAGGTGGTGCTCACCTTGAGCCACCTGGTCTGATTGGTGGCGCATCCCACAAGGGTGAGGCTCTAGCCTGGTTGTAGTCGTATTGGAGGAGGTTGGCACTTGGACGATTGCACCTACGACATTTCATGGCTCTCATAAGGCGATACAAACGATGCAACAAAGTGCCACAGACGAGATCCACTTCAGGGCACAATGATCAGAGGTTCGTGTGTTTGTGGTGGCAGCGCTCGAACTGCTGTAGCAGAGGTCCACGTCGCCGTAGGCAAATGCCATGGATTCGTGCTCATATCCACTCAAGCTACAAACAGGGAATATTGAGATGAGAGAGGGAAGGGGGATGCAAGGATGAATGGAGGTAGGATGGGACCGACATGAGGTAGTTACGGTCGTCGGGCTCATTGAAGCCTCATCAAATCCGTGCGGGTGCCACGACACTAGATCAACGTGATGGAGGAGTGATGCGAGCTCGAGATGCGCTGCTCAAGAAGGATGTGAGAGATGGGACAGGGTAGGGCCTGGGACAGGCTTCACGGAGGGCGAGGACTAGACCTATGGTCCCTATGCACTAGGAGGTGGCATTGCAGGGCTCTCAAACCTAGGATCGCCCCCCGTGTCTCCTCTCTCTCTCTCTCTCTCTCCTGCTATCTAAAACTGGAGAGGGAAGCTAGGGAGTGTCGGCTAGGGTTGCTCGGTAAGGGATCTCCTCCTAAAAATTACGGATGTCACCCTATTTAGTGGGAGGGTTTTTATTATATATAGAGGGGATAGAATGGGTAGGTGGGCTAGGCGGATTGGTTTAGGAGAGAGTATATTTCATTTGGCCTATTTAGACACTTTTATTGCAGATTCATTTATCATATATAGTAGCGCCCAGATATTTAATTGTAAAAGCGAAGAAATTTCACATGTGGCCTATCTATACAATAACAAGGCCACACACAAAGTTCGATCCATACAGAATTTATTTAAATGCCCGTTACGAAAATAAATCCACTTTCTAATACAAAGGACTTTGCACTATGAGTGTTAGCTAGGCTTGTGCTAAAATTGTGAAACAATTTCGGTAGCTCCCAAATTTTGCAAGAAGATGTCGTCCATGATTTTGGGGTCAATCTTGGTGCGGAAGATCGAATGGGGGCTGTACTTATTGCCTATCCATGTAAAATCCCATCAGGGAAGTAGGAGAGACAGCACTAGGGAAGGAGTTGCAGATGGTCAAAATGCGTGTGTTGTTGCTACTGGAGAAGCGGGACTTGGTATGTAGAGATGCACCATCGAGTATGGAGACTTGGGGAAAGAGGAGTACATTAGCACATGCTTCACACTTAGTCACTACAGTTAGGTAGCATAGGCCCCGCTCATATCGTCGTAGATGGATGACAAGATGCGCCGCATGCTAGAAACTAATGGAGCGATTCTGACCTTAAGAAAGAGAATGTAAGGGCATACAGAGGGGTGGGGGGCAAAATGGGTTTGGCTTTCTAGTTTGATATTATAGAGGGGATAATATAATGCTCATAAAGATTTATGAGATAGGCCCAACTGGAAGACCACGCAAGATATATCAAATATGCAAGATGGGCCTCTATTTCGAGTTGTCTGAGATTAAAATGGAAGAAAAACCATCGTTCTACCCTCCCTGCAAGCCCTATTGGTTCGAGGTGGACATTTCTATTCTAGATTAGTGAGACATAGGTCGAGCAAAGTTAGCCATGAACATTATTTTTGGTGGTGGGATTCTTTTGCCCATCGCAAAAGTTGTATTTGTTACTCCTTCCGTCCCAAAATAAGTATCACTACTTTAGTACAACTTCCAGGAGTGATGTAAGAAAAGCAGCACAACCCATAACACAATCCATTACTTTTAATGAAATAATTTCATGATAATATGTTGAAAGTATGTTAGGTAGAAAAAATGGCAACATTTCTATGTACACATAAGTATAGCTAGGTAGAATTTGCATGAAGACAAGGAAATCAAAGGTAAGGTAATAATTATGTACTTGAACTTGGAATCTGTTTTGCACACTCATATTAGAAACACCAACTGCACCAAACCATTATAGAAAGTTATGTTATCATGAATACTACAATGGGAGAACGGAAACAACATGAGGTAAGCAAACTACTATCTAGTAATTACGGTAGATAAGGTCAAATAATTAAAACTGCATGCCACTGGAGTAGTAGATGCCTCTTGATCTGCCACCCTTACATTGAAATGTGTTGGCTTATTAGGCTTACCCACAATCATGGTGTCATTGCTTAGCATTACGACAATATCTACTATACTTGGTCGATCGGCTACATTCTCTTATACACACAACAATGCTATGTTAATGCACCTCATAATGTTTACTGAATGACTCTCGCGGGATAATGAAGCATTCACAAGGTCAACCCACCTTCCTTCTTCCCATAATTGCCATGCCTGTTCAATTCATCAAACAATGAGAAAGACGACTTTACATGATGAAAATGTTATTTATAAGCTTACATGTCCATGTAGGTTGATGAAATCTCCACGTTGCTCTCTACCCGAATTCCGTGTTCCACTAAGGATCTAAAAAATAACAACACCAAAGCTGAAAACATCGGATTTAATAGAGAAGGCCCTCCGATGCATATTCGGGTGCCATGTAGCCACTAAAATGTCATATAATGATACATGTCAATATTTTGTACAAGCTTAACTATAATTATAATGGTCACAAGTGGATTTATATCTACAAGACTTACCATGTACCAACCACTCTTCTTGTAGTGTATCCTTTCGACCTTAATATTCATTATCCAAGAGAATGTTGCTTCACTTAAGATCCCAATGTATGACCAGCAACCGGGAGTTCTTATGGAGGTAAACAACTCCATGTGCAAATCCTTCAATTATTGGTACAAGTTTGGACCAATCCAATAGAGCTCTTTTGTTTTCAT